TCTCATGCTCTATAACTCACACTGGATTCATTTCCAATTTCATAGATTAATTTATGTACTAATTTTCTATTTTCTAACTTAAAACTCAGTCTATTTCACCTGCAAGGCTCTAATTTAGAGGAATGTTCTGGACAAGAAGTACAATTCCCAAAACAAGCCATGTTCCTTCTCAAGGTTTATTCATAACATGTTACTGTTTAAACAAAGTGTCTATAATCTATTTTGACTGACAACTTTTACAGCATTTCCATTATTTTAAGTAAGCGAGACAAACGCTGCGTAGATGAGAACAGGGCAGAAACATCATTCTGTGAGAGCTGTCTTGTTCTCTTTTTACTTTGCAAAGAAAAATAAATTGCTGACTGAGTGAAATTCATCAATCCCCGTTTATTTAACTTGACTGTGTTGTTTAACACCTTTTTCCCACAACAAACCCTCAGCAGTTGATCAACTCTGGGATAACACATGGTAAGAAGATTATTTTATAACTTATAAGGTCTAAATAATTGAGAGTGGAAAAGCCTGAAATTATAATGAGTCAGAAGAATTTAGAATGTAAACATGTGTCTGTTGTGTCCCTTTTGGTCTCATATTCAATAGGAGTGTCTTAAGCTCATTACACTGGGCAACAATAGGATAGATTTGATTTACTAACTTGTCTTGTTGAACTTAATGTTCTTTACTCATAAGCTGTTTAGAAAATGTTTTCATCATCTCATTACACTGCTTCTTAGGGTTTCAGAAAACACACAACTCAACTTTTACACTTCATTACTTTAAACACATAAAAATATTTCAGTCATAAATTCGCTATAAATGGAAAAAAGAATCAATATAAGCTGTCTATCCAATTTGATCATACAAAATCAGTACCTCAGTGAGTACAGCTTACTGATCTCTATTCACTGGATGAAAAAGCTGAAGTCACCTACCTCCATCTGAGTACATCATTAATGTTCGGCACGGTAGCGCTCGTATTGTTTACATTCCGAGCAGTCTAACTAGGGAGTACTAATATGGTGGCTGGTGACGTCACAACAACTTGTAAAGCAATCCAGTGAATCAAAAGTGGTACAGCTCAGTCTCAATCACTAAGTCTGCCTGCGATTCATGTAGGTCTGTTCAGCTCAATTTAGTGTTGTGTGGCGCCACCTGCTGGAAAGTTATTGCCTGTTATTTTCGGGTTTGTATGGCAAGCCCTTTTGACATTTATTAACTTGACTGAATATACTGTATGTAATCCAGATTTCTCTAATGCATTTCTTCCTAGTCAAAATGAACATTTCAGATATCTAAAATAACATTCTTTCTATCTAAAATATACATTTCAGATATTTGAAATGTAATTCTTACCAGTATAAATGATGTCACATTTCCCATTCCTGTGTATTGGGCTTTTACTTCCAGATATCTACTATAACATTGTTCCTATCTAAAAATTACTATATCAAAAATGAATAGAACATTAAATCATATTCTTGACATCTAAAATATATTTCTACTAAAAGAAATATAATTACAGATATTAACTAGTTATTTTATGACTAGTTAAATTAGAATTCCAGATATCAAAATTTTGATA